CGCCACTCACAAGGAAAGAAATTTGGGAACGCCAAGTTCATCCTGGATGCTTAAGTCTGTACGAACACACCTGAGGCCTGTATGGAAGGTTCAGGCAAGCGTTGCCCGTTTACATATTTGGCAGTGTGAACGTTGGAGACCCATATGCCGATGGGGTATCGTGAATTTATAGGTATTGCGCTGTCACACATCGGCAAAATGACCGATAATCAAACAACCGAATAAAATTTGCTAAGTGGACGGAAAGCACCCTAGGAGGGACTTCAATGAACAAAGAACTGCTGGCGCGAACGTTACGCCCCGGCTGAACAGGGCAACAAAGGGACTTTATTTGAAGCCTACACTTAAAGCTTTGACTCAAAAATTCAACCTTCAATGATGTGAGAAAAGGGTTGTGTTGAGGGCTTTATTCCGCACCAATGAATCAAAAGTATGAACAGCAGGGCGGCAAACCGTGCGGTCTTTTTAGGACCCTGCGAGTAGCCACTAAATCTATAGTCTGTCCCTTTTGACTGCGGTAGAACTGCTCAGCCAAAGGACTCAGGAAGAAAGACGTAGATATCTTACTCCTGATGCCATTGCGCACAGTGGATGCATTTGTGGTCTTATAAGGCTCCCCGAAAGGTTTTAATCTCGTTACTCTCAATCCAAATTCCTCCATTCAGCCCATTTGGGATGGTTGCACGGAAGAAAACTCAATCAACAAACTAATGCGCCATTGGAACACCCAAGCCGGCCACCAGATAAAATTAATAGCTTTTGTTTAATGAACTGTTCAATGAGGCTCAAGACCGCTATATAAGGGCTGATTTTCAAGGTTTTTCCGGAAAATTCGGCGAAAAATTACAGCAAACCACAGAACGATCCGGATCAACATTTATTCCAAAATGATCGCAGTCGAGTACTGAGTCTTGCCCCTGGTATCTGGGGTACGAGATCGTTTTGACTAAGTGGCTGTTGAGTTGTTATATGAGAGCGCCAGGTAACATGGCTGCTTCTAGTGTATCTAAACCTAGATTGTTAGTGAAAAACTAGCAGTCAGAATTGTTGTAAAATACACTCACCAATATCACTACACTTGAATCCTAAATAAAATTGCTACAAAACCGCCCCTGCATGAACTAAGGCGCACTACTTGCGCACCGAAATCTCCTGCGATTAGGATTATAGCTTAAATTTTTGTGATAGATAAAAAGTTGACTTGTAATATGTGGTATTTCCGGACAGAAAGTATCTTCCACGGAGATGTGCATAGTCAGCGGCTGACATTTCGGCCAACGAGAGTTCTTACTGCACAGAGCTAGCCGCTCACAGGCGACCAATCAAACAAGGCTCCATCTTGGTTGCTTACAGCAAAGTCAGCACTAGTTCTAAAAGCCGCGGTGCCTGAAGATCACAGTCGGTAGTGTCCAACCAGCGAGCTGTGGTAGGCTCGACCCATCTGCTTGAAATTTTCGGGCTCCGGAATGCAGTACACAAGTACCAACGAATGACCATCGGAGAGGACAACAGTGTCGAAGCTGATGCTCCTCGTTTATCTGTAACCCCCTAACTATACCTAGCTTCCGTGCCGCTCGAGCGAAGCACGAAAGCTGACATACTGCCACGTTGCCCAAGCCTATACATGGGCAGTCGGGGGGAAAAGGTCGTGTTCGAACCACGGACTTCCCAGTCAGTAAATTCGCGCTCTAACTACTGAGTTATCTCGCTCTCTTGGGCGACAACAGCTCACCCACCCAAATAATTTGTACTCAGACATGCCCCAGCCACCGAAATTTGCGAGGCTGGATGCTTTCGGCGACTGAAGTACTTGATACACACCTAAAGACCCATCATTTGTTTGTCTTGGTCCGGATCTGTTGACGCATTCCGACACCGCCAAAGCTTCTGAGGCATTCGTGGTCGAAAACCTGAGCGCAGTTCACCTGTCCAGAGGGGCCATCTTGCATCAATACACCGTACCAATAAAGCGGCAATAGCGGTTTTCTGGTTAGCTTGCACAAGGGTTCGAAAAAAAGGGCTGTAAAGAGCAAACTCAGCAGGTAGGGGTGAATGCGTGCAACTGGTCACTTCCCCAGATACCCGACGGAAGTACCTTCACTTATCCGCTCCGCTTGTGTAGTGAATAGGGGGACTCCGCTAGTATCAACACACCCCCTGATGTATTAAAGCATATTTGGCTACACAACCTCACGGTTGGGCTCAAGCCACCGGTGGTTGACGTAAGACTACCACAGTAATCTGAATTTCGACGGTGGATGCCAAACTTGCTCTGATATCCAAATCAAAGGCTACCGGGATTGCGTTTGTCGGGTCTGTGTCGGCCAGCAAATCTTGTCAGGGCTCTGTAGATGTCACACGGCTATCCACACGTCCTCGTTCAGTTGCAATGCCCTCTCGGTGCCTAGCTTCCTTACCACCCGAGGGAATCACAAGGGTTGTGTTACTACCAGGTTGGCCGTGCCCAGGCAGAAGTCCAGATGCAGAGGCCGGGCTCATCCCTATGTATCGTTGCATTAGCTGATGAGGTAGGTAAACCGCCAAACAACATTAAACCGCGGCCTCACCACAACAGAGTAATCCCGCATCTCGTTGTCTACAGTCGCAGCCGCGAGGTAAGCCCATATACTGAAGCTAACCATAACGGACGACGAGTGGATCTGGCGGTCACTTCAAATGAACTTACGAAGACGTCGCGGGTAAATAGGCCAGGGAGAAGATGCAGTATGCCAAAAGAGAAGACAGTCATCAATAGCAGTCTGTTTTCACCGACCCGCCCGTTTGTGTACATTAAGTCCAATATGGCATATCACAGGGACTTATATAACACTCAATTGTAACACTCTTCTGTGCCAGCTAAAATGTCACTCAAAGGATACACGAGCAGTGAGATACAACCAGATTGCTCAAGCCTAGGCAATCGCAGTCGAGAACAGAGATTCCGTTCAAACAACCAACCTCATGGTCTGCAAGCTTGCACCTTAACGACGGAGTATCTTGGCTCAGCCGTACAATTCACATGACTATTCTTCGTATATTGGGAATCCGCAATGGTAAGGCAGGGAGAAGACGTCGGTTGAAGTATGTACACCTCTCGTAGTTGCTTAACTGAACGCGATTCGGCGCAAACCTCTACACGGCCAGCATTGAGTGATAGGTTGATACAGTTTCTCGGACACACTCGAACACTCAAGCATCGTCGCTGGTCGCTGACTGGCTACTTGATTACAGCTTCACAGACAGACACTCTGGACCAAGGTTTTTGCCCAATTTTTCCGGGAATGGTTTATTTTCGTCATCCAATGGCTGCCGTTCACCTGAAAAGCACAAGCGAAAAAAGTGCATCGCCCTTCTCTAAGATCTCTGCTTGGGGCAGTAAGCTTGCCAGCATGGTGTTTTCCATTAAAAAGCACCCTGAACTGGGTGCTAGATGTGGACAACCGTCCGAGGTAAGTTATTTTACGCGGCAACTACCCGAAATGATAAAAATTTTACCCGATAGAATTGAGCGCTCTAAACTTAAAAATCTCACCATGCCCTGCCCCATGTCACCTATATCATTGGTGAAAAAATATTGGCCAAACCTTGTTCAAACAAGGCATGAGTAAGTATTAGGTCCTTTTGGAGTCGTCGATACTCGAAAGGAAATTGGTCAAGCACCACCGGATTCCTTTCATAGCCTACGGATTTAAGTCCGGCAGCGATTTCCGTAGCGGCGCGTCGGACACTACCGATAAGGGTTACATCCTTTCGGCAGCTATATTTTCGTTTCCTAGGCGGCTGACCCCAATTTGGCACCGATATAATCCAGCTTGATCTTGATGTGCCACGTAGAAACTGGCGAAAAAAGTTTGCACCTGTAGGTCTTCAGACCTAAGGGTTGGGCCCATCAACCATGATACAATGACGCATCTGGTGCTTCCGTGTATATTCTGCGGTTTATAGTAAAGATGAAAATATAATAAGTATGCAGGTACAGTACAATCAGGGTTCACGCGGCTACCAATACATGTAGATCGGTCAACAAAGCCAAATGATTTATTTTAATGCCCAAACCGACGGCAAAAACTTGAGGTTGGAAGACGGTTACCGGACTACCGACAATATCCGGTTTGTGGTCGTTTGCGCGGACGGGTAATAATATTAATAATGTTTATTCCCAACTTGTGGGAGGCATACAGTCTGGCATGATCATAGTTTTACAGTCACAATGGAACACGACTGAGGGATTTGTGGGGGTAAGGATCGCAAAAAAAGAGGACAATGTCACAAACAGTGGGGAACACCCGATGATATAGCAGTGATAGGTTATTTCCCAACTTCATGGGAAAAATGGTCATGAGGTTTGACTAGCTCAAAGACAGTCAGGTGGCATGAACTAAAACTGAAAACCATTGATGGCCATGAGTGAACTTCGGTGGTTAGGTAAATGGCCGGAGTCACAACGAGCAAAAGTGGAGATGGAGATGGGATAATTCAGATTGGGAGCACATGGCAAGTTTTGTCTCAAAAATGTGGTTTAATCTGAAAGCAAGCAGACTCACTGGTTGCACTTTTGTAGGGATGTCAGGTGCAGGGGAATAGGTTGGATGGGGGCAAGTTGCTAATACATAGGGCGACCTGAACTCCGTATACGGATTTGAACTTGTGCAGCAGGCAAGTCGAAATTGCTGCAGAAAAGCCAGGGAAGAATAATGCCAACCTATGGCAGTTCTTTGAAAACGATTTGTGTAGGCCTGCAGCGAGGTAGGGTGGCTTGAAAAACTGGATGCCCAGGAAGGAATAACAGCCCTGAAGAGTGGTGTTCTGTCGGTGGTCGATAACCACGTGATCCAATAGGGTTCATGGTTGGGTTTCACCAGATACTAGACATCGTGCTGGCCAGAAGTACTTGGAGCTCAGCGTATAACTGCGGGGATCGTTATGTGTGGGAAATACCGACCATGAAATGAACAAAAATTCGATTCCAAATGGTTCGGATGACCTAATTAAGCACTTACATCACCCACAATGTTAGGGGGTTTACCGCCCGCAGTCAGGTGCTTCTACGGCCGAGAAGCCTGTCTTGCAAACGATTGGCCAAAAGTTCGGAACGCTAGCCGGTCCGGCACCAAGCCGGGGTCTGAATGGTCGAAAGTCTGGATCCAACAGCCAATCATGACCCAGCATTGGCCGAATGCCGTCTGCCAATACTGCATCCAGAAGGTGTCAAAATTTTCCGCCGCTTATACTATATATGTCAATGGCTGTACAAGTTTTCTTGACTCGGTTTTTGGCTTTATTATTCCTTTTGCACCTTTAATGGTTGTTTCAACGTAAACGCTACCTTGGGAGGATCAGACCGTGAAGTAAGCTGAACAAAACACCATTACCATATATCCTCGGCGTCCTAATAAAAGTCTGTTTGATACGAGCTGTTTTGCGTGCCGTGGCGGTGAGGTAGACTGAGTTGGATACCCGAAGGGCGCAAAGACGATCGTCCACTGGAAGGATACCCTAAAGTAGCGCGTTCCATCCTGGAACAGAGTGCGAATCCCACGCCCTGTATTTCCGAATCGCCACTCACAAGGAAAGAAATTTGGGAACGCCAAGTTCATCCTGGATGCTTAAGTCTGTACGAACACACCTGAGGCTTGTTTGGAAGGTCCAGGCAAGCGTTGCCCGTCTACATACTTGGCAGTGTGAACGTTGGAGACCCATATGCCGATGGGCTATGTAGTGGTCTGGCTACCCAATAAGTTAGTTTACCAGGAGTGTGTGGCAAATAAATAAAAATGATTACGCTAGGTTGGGTATACAAAAATAAAGAGACCGGACGGAACAGACTCACTAACGATTGTTCTCTTTAAAATAGTTCGTCGTTGGCCCAGGTCAGCGAATAAACAATAATCCAATTATGTTGGTCCAGAGGTCTTCTTCTGAACAGTTCCCACATATAATAGATTCCGAAGATGTCTGAAATGTTTTGGTACAAGACTAAGTGCATGAGACTCACGAATGACCGCTGCAAGCGCGAGCGAAATCAGAAGAGAGAGTCCAAGCACGTGACCACGCTTGCATTCTGTGAAATTGTACAAGTGCGCGTATTTGTAGTTTTTCCTATTCCAACAAAAAACGATTATGCAATTGATGAAATACGTAGTGTTATAATGGGAGTAAAATAAAGGTACAAAACGGCCCAGTTTTCGTGAATTTAGAGGTATTGCGCTACGTCACACATCGGCAAAATGACTGATAATCAAACAGTCGGATAAAATTTGCTAATTGAACGAAAAGCACCCTAGGAGGGACCTCAATGAACAAAGAGCTGCTGGCGCGAACGTTGCTTCCCGGCTGTACAGAGCAACAAAGGGACTTATTTTGAAGCCTACACTTAAAGCCTTTGACTCAAAAATTCAACCTCCAAAGATGTGAGTAAAGGGTCGTGTTGAGGGCTCTATTCCACACCAATGACTCAGAAGTATGAACAGCAGGGCGGCAAACCGTGCGGTCCTTTTAGGACCCTGCGAGTAGCCACTAAATCTATAGTGTGTCCCTTTTGACTGCGGTAGAACTGCTCAGCCAAAGGACTCAGGAAGAAAGACGTAGATATCTTACTCCTGATGCCATTGCGCACAGTGGATGCATTTGTGGTCTTATAAGGCTCCCCGAAAGGTTTTAATCTCGTTACTCTCAATCCAAATTCCTCCCTTCAACCCATTTGGGATGGTCGCACGGAAGAAAGCTCAATCAAAAAACTAATGCGCCAGTGGAACACCCAAGCCGACCACCAGATAAAATTAAATAGCTTTTCTTTAATGAATGGTTTAGCGAGGCTCAAGACCACTATATAAGGGCTGGCTTTCAAGGTTTTCCGGAAAGTTCGGTGAAAATATACAGCAAACCACAGCACGATCCGGATTAACATTTATTCCAGAATGATCTGCAGTCAAGTACTGAGTCTTGCCGCGGGTATCTGGGGTGGGTGATCGTTTTGACTAAGTGGCTGTTGAGTTATATGAGAGCGCCAGGTAACATGGCTGCTTCTAATATATCTAAACCTAGATTGTTAGTGAAAAACTAGCAGTCAGAATTGTAAAATACGCTCACCACTATCACTACACTTGAATCCTAAATAAAAATGCTACAAAACCGCCTATGCATGAACTAAAGCGCACTACTTGTGCACCGAAATCTCCTGCGATTAGGATTATAGCTTAACTTTTTGTGGTAGATAAAAAGGTGGCTTGTAATTTGTGGTATTTATGGACAGAAAATATCTTCCACGGAGCTGTGCACAGTCAGTGGCTGGCATTTCGGCCAACGAGAGTTCTTACCGAAGTCAACAGATTAACTGCACAGAGCTAGCCGCTCACAGGCGACCAATCAAACAAGGCTCTATCTTGGTTGCTTACAGCAACGTCAGCACTAGTTCTACAAACCGCGGTGCCTGAAGATCACAGTCGATATTGTCCAACCAGCGAGCTGTGGTAGGCTGGACCCATCTGCTTGAAATTTTCGGGCTTCGGAATGCAGTACACAAGTACCAACCAATGACCATCAGAGAGGACGACAGTGTCGAAGCTGATGCTCCTCGTTTATCTGTGACCCCCTAACTGTACCTAGCTTCCGTGCCGCTCGAGCGAAGCACGAAGGTTGAGATACTGCCACGTTGCCCAAGCCGGTACATTGGAAGTCGGGGGGCAGAGGTCGTGTTCGAACCGCGGACTTCCCAGTCAGTAAATTTGCGCTCTAACTACTGAGTTATCTCGCCCTCTTAGGCGACAACAGCTCACCCACCCACATAATTTGTACTCAGACATGGCCGAGCCACCGAGGTTTGCGGGGCTGGATGCTTTCAGCGGCTGAAGTACTTTATACACACCTAAATACCCGTCATTTGTTTGTCTTGGTCCGGATCTGTTGACGCAGTCCGACACCGGCAACGCTTCTGAGGCATTCGTGGTCGAAAACCTGAACACAGTCTACCTGTCCAGAGGGGCCATCTTACGTCAATACACCGTACCAATAAAGCGGCAATGCCGGTTTTCTGGATAGCTTGCACAATGGTTCGAAAAGAGGACTGTAAAGAGCAAAATCAGCAGGTGGGAGTGGATGTATGCAACTGGTCACTTCCCCAGATGCCCGACGGAAGTATCTACAGTTTGCTAATATGCAAGAATTACCGACGGCTGGGGGGAGGCAAAACGGTCAAACGAATGTGTGAGTATCAGTGATCGCATTTCACTTATCCGCTCCGCTTGTGTAGTGAATAGGGTGACTCCGCTAGTATCAACACACCCCCTGATGTATTAAAGCATATTTGGCTACACAACCTCACGGTTGGGCTTAAGCCACCGGTGGTTGACGTAAGACTACCACAGTAATCTGAATTTTGACGGTGGATGCCAAACTTGCTCTGACATCCAAATCAAAGGCTACCGGGATTGCGTTTGTCGGGTCTCTGTCGGTCAGCAAACCTTGTCAGGGCTCTGTAGATGTCACACGGTTATCCACACGTCCTCGTTCAGTTGCAATGCTCTCTCGGTGCCTAGCTTCCTTGCCGTCCGAGGGAATCACAAGGGCTGTGTTACTACCAGGCTGGCCATGCCCAGACAGAAGTCGAGATGCAGAGGCCGGGTTCATCCCTACGTATCGTTGCATGAGCTGACGAGGTAGGCAAAACGCCAAACAACATTAAACCGCAGCCTCACCACAACAGATTAATCCCGCATCACGTTGTCTACGGTCGCAGCCGCCGAGGTAAGCCCATATATTGAAGCTAACCATAACGGACGACGAGTGGATCTGGCAGTCACTTCAAATGGACTTGCGAAGACGTCGCGGGTAAATAGGCCAGGGAGAAGATGCAGTATGCCAAAAGAGAAGACAGTCATCAACAGAGGTCTGTTTTCACCGACCCGCCCGTTTGTGTACATTAAGTCCAATATGGCATAGCAAAGGGGCTTATATAGCACTCAGTTGTAACACTATTCTGTGCCAACTAAAATGTCGCTCAAACGATACACGAGCACTGTGATACAACCAGATTGCTCAAGCCTAGGCAATCGCAGTCTAGAACAGAGATTCCGTTCAAACAACAAACCTCATGGTCTGCAAGCTTGCACCTTAACGACGGAGTATCTTGGCTCAGCCGTACAATTCACATGACTATTCTTCGTATATTGGGAATCCGCAATGGTAAGGCAGGGAGAAGACGTCGGTTGAAGTACGTACATCTCCCGTAGTTGCTTAACTGAAAGCGATTCGGCGTAAACCTCTACGCGGCCAGCATTGAGTGATAGGTTGATACAATTTCTTGGACACACCCGAACACTCAAGCATCGTCGCTGGTCGCTGACTGGCTACTTGATTACAGCTTCACAGACAGACACTCAGGACCAAGGTTTTTGCCCAAGTTTTCCGGGAAGGGTTTGTTTTTGTCATTCAACGGCTGCCGTTCACCTGAAAAGCACAAGCGAAAAAAGTGCATCGCCCTTCTTTAAGATCTCTGCTTGGGGCAGTAAGCTTGCCAGCATGGTGTTTTCCAATAAAAAGCGTCTGCTCTGAACTGGGTACTAGATGTGGACAACCGTCTGAGGTAAGTTATTTTACGCGGCAACTACCCGAAATGATAAATATTTTACCCGATAGAATTGGGCGCTCTAAACTTGAAAATCTCACCATGCCCTGCCCCGTGTCACCTATATCATTGGTGAAAAAATGTTGGCCAAACCTTGTTCAAACAATGCATGATTAAGTATTAGGTCCTTTTGGAGTCGTCGATACTCGAAAGGAAATTGGTCAAGCACTACCGGATCCCTTTCATAGCCTACGGATTTAAGTCCGGCAGCGATTTCGGTAGCGGCACGTCGGACACTACCGATAAGGGTTACGTCCTTTCGGCAGCTATATTTTCGTTTCCAAGGCGGCTTACCCCAATTTGGCACCGATATAATCCAGCTTGATCTTGATGTGCTACGTAGAAACTGGCGAACAAAGTTTGCATCTGTAGGACCTCAGACCTAAGGGCCGGGCCTATCAACCATGATACAATGACGTATCT